CAGATATGAGAAGGTACCTGTAATCTTGGTTGGAAATAAAGTGGACCTGGAGAGCGAGAGAGAAGTTTCATCCAGTGAAGGCAGAGCTCTGGCTGAAGAATGGGGTTGTCCTTTTATGGAGACATCTGCTAAAAGCAAAACAATGGTGGATGAGCTCTTTGCAGAGATTGTCAGACAAATGAACTACGCCTCTCAACCAGATAAAGATGACCCATGCTGCTCTGCATGTAATATACAATAGCATTCCAAGGATGGAATTGGACCTAATTTGCTGTATTTTGGGTAAGGTGACAGAATAGACTATTTCACTCTGTGATTTAAAGTTGGTCAAAAATTCAAAGTGGAGTAGCACTGAACCTCCAAGTGAAACATAAATATTGATCAATTTAATAAAAAAAATAATAATTGAGAAGCTTTATTTGCCTGCAGCACATCTTCTGCATGTTCTACTCTCTGGCTTAGCCAACAGATTACAGGGTGAGCACAATCTGTGCACGTTGGCTTGTCAGGTAACAGCTACTGCTTTAAATTAAGAAACATTTTTGGCGAAAAGGAGAGCACCAGCAAAGACCTTTTGCACTCTGCCTATTCTGTACTGATAAGTAAAGATTTTAACAAAAGGTATCTACTTACTGAATTTCAGGACTTTTATCACTTGTGGCCAAATCAGTCAAATATGCTAATTTTTATTTGTGACGCAAGTGTTGATAAATTTATTGGCAAACTAATATAGTTCTGTTATTTTCTTTACATTCATTATTTTCTGTGATCCCATAATGCAAAAAGGAAAATGCTCCATCAGTACTTGAACGGAAAGAGAGAAGCTCTGAAAAAAAAAAAATCAACAGCTTGTAAAGAGAACACTGAAACATTAGGATATCCTAAATATTCTGCGTTGTTGCTCAGAAAATGGTGGATTGCTTCAGCTGCTGTTCAGTCAAGATACCAAACCAGCCCTTGCTTTGCAGAGCAGGAAATGCATTAATCTCTTTACTGATCCAGGAAGAAGCAACCATGATGGGGTTAAAAAGAATTGTTTGGCCTTACTAATGAGGAACATTGCTAGCACATTAACAAGTACCACCTTGTAAGGAAAATGAAGCCATGTTGTATTCAGCCGTTCCTTTTTGCAGAAACCTCATAGGGGCTGTACAAGCATCCTATATTTTTTAGTTTAAGGATACCAGTTTATTTTTGCCTTTAAGGGCTGTATCTTGGATGTGATATACTAATTGAGCTATGGAATTTAATTTTGCCACTTTATATCTTTAACATTGGCGATTCTGGTTAACTGTGTAGAATTACTTTGTCTCAGAAGGTGAATACAAAATATTTTAATTCCATGTGGGAATGAGAAAAGGATTTGTGTCTTCAATTGCCTAACATGCTAGTCAGGTGCTGCCATTAAGTGATCCTGTTGCCCTGGTTATTGCTGTGACAAATAGTGAGTGAAAGCATTGTTTTAAAATGGTGGCTCAGCCTCTAATTTTAATTTAAATAGCAGTGAAATACTTAAAATTTGCATGACTTAACAGCACCAATTATATCTATTATGTCTTACAATCCAGGAAGTTTCCAATCAGAAAGTCTAAGATTGAAATGGTGGAATGATAATGGACCTTGATGGATAAAATTGGCCTTTACAATACAATATCACTGAGCCTATGGTCCACGGGTGTCAAACTCGATTACGTCATGTGATGTATCGCAACATTTTTTTTGCCTTTGCAGAGCTGGGGTGGGCGTGGCCTGCGCGTGACGCATCCGACCTGCGGGCCACCAGTTTGACACCTCTGCTTATGGTCCAAATACTATCCTGAAAGATTGGTTTCTCAATCTTGTGAAGTAGTTCTGTAATTTCTTGTGTAGATGAGTGGAAAGGAATGTATGTTCTGTGTATGGGTATGAGTGTGTTGGTGAATGCAACTTTTTACAAATGCTGTAATGAACTTGAGTTCTGAGATTTTGCCTTGATCAGCAGAAAAACAAACTGCAATCTAAAGGGTATCAAAAGCAAATGAATTTTTAAAAGCCTTTTTAAAAAAACACTTGGCCACTTTATACCTTACACAGTAGAACACATTTAACTTAGATTAGATCAATTTCTAACAATAATGATGGATGATTATTGGCTACACTTTCCTTTGTTCTTGAATTATTTTTTCCCCTCATAATCAAGAAAGCAAAGAGTTGTCATTTAAACATGAGGTCCTGTATTAGAAACATAATTCCTTCCCGAACATCGTTCTCAGCTTTAAGAATTACTGAACTTTAATGCATCTTATATGGGCAACTTCCATGTATTAAGGTAAAAATTATGAATTATAATCTTTAAATTCTTTTAGAAAAAATATTATGCAGCAGTATGTCGGAAAATAATTTCACTGATCAAATAAAAGTGGAATAAGCAGGTATAGAAGAATGTTGAGTGCATCTTATACTGATTGATTCCAAAAATAAGTCCTGTACTACATGTCAGATTATTTGATGTAAAAAAAAAATGAGGAGCATAAATGGCATTTCTTTATTTTTGTCAAGGCGTTATTTTAATAGGAAGCTTTTTTAGAAAAAAACCACACAAGTACTTCGTAGTGCATAATCTTCACTTACAGACTAAACAATATACTTTCATACAAAAGTAGGTGATATACTAATTCCAAGAAACAATTTATATGCAATTTAGATTCTGTCACTGTGTAGTACAGTATATTTGACCAAAATGATATAAATCAGCAAGAGGGGATATCTAAGGCTATCAGTTATATGGATTCCTTCTCTCCCGTGTCATGTGTGTAGACCCACAGAGTTAGTAGCAGCTAAAAGGGATTCCTAGTGCCAATGGAAGAGTGAACCTTTGTCAATCCTTACCCTTCCCAATTTATAACAGTGGGCAACTTTGTCATTTTCTGGCCATCACTGTGTTTGTAAAGATGAACTTGCCATTGGCTATCTATCCCAGAACACAGATTTTAAAAAATAGATTAAAACAGGCATATTAATCTGGGCTACAAGGTCACTCTGACTCTATATGTGCCACTTTTCAAGCATACCAACAGTAGCCTCTATATATATTGGTGACATTTTCCCATTTACGGTATCTGGTCAGCAATATTACATACCTTGGGACTGCTGGTTGAGAAGCACTATCTATCTTGCATTCTAAGCAGATCCAATAGTAGTAATTTGGGAAGGAGGACTTAACATGCCTTAAAATATTATCAGTTCATCCAAAGACCCAATATTCTTTGCTTAGAGCTTTGTATTTTTCTGCAGCGGTGAGTTCCTCTTTTCCTTTGAAACTGGTTAAACAACTCTCAACATCTGTTCAGAATGTTTTTTTAAGATGATTCAGCACACATGCAAATATCGATAGCAATTTCTGAGGAATTCTTCATCTGGTAGTACCAACAATAAATACTGTATATCCCTTTATTTAAAATTTGGCATTATTTTTTTGTCAGCAAACATGCTAGTATTTTCTATGTCGTACATGCCGCCTAAAGGTTTAGGGTGAGGTGACACATGGTCTTCAATATAACTGAAATAATTCCACAATAAAGCAAATTTGGCAACGTCAGGATTTTATTGTGAATTTTTCCTTTATTAGTTTTTGATCAGGTTTTAAAAAGGGATTGCAGTGTGTTTTTGCAAATTTAACAATTTGTGATTTCTAGAATTGAATAAACATCTTTAACGATTGTGGACCTCTGTTACAACTGATAAATGAAAAAAAAATTACATTTTATAAGTTATCAGTTGTTTAAATCAAACTATTTCAAAATAAAACAAATTGTACATAGAACTCAATGCAAACTCAGCAGTTGTATCTGGAGTTAAATTATTTTAACAAATAAATTTATTTAATGAAATGTCTGTTGGATTGTCTTCTCGTCTTCCTTTTTATTCAAGAATAAAGCAAAAACCCAACTACATTCTTCACGTATTCAGAATTCAGATCTCCTTTATTAGAATGCCTCTTTAAAAAGGAACATATTTGTCATATTATTCATGAAGAAAGTTTGCACTAATCTTGATTCACTATTGCATTGTCATCATGACAATATTTCTAAAATCCATAATTATATGAATTACAGGTAGCAGTAAGTACTGTGCTAGATAGTTTTCGTTCCTAAGCAATGTGAGTCCTCTGATGCCAAAGACTGCTGTGGGAACTGTATATTCCCCAACTAGGGCTGTGAAGATTGACAAATGTAGCTAGTTGTGCGCAGCCATCAGCTGATCTTACATTTGATAATTGACTCCATTCATTCAGTCAGGCCAGCTTGGCTCAAGTCCCTTTGGAGGGCTCTAAGTAGCTTTGCTTCCATGTATTGATGTGTGTGTTGCAAACAAAAGTAGCTGTATAGAGTAGTATAGACCAAACTTTCTTGTTTGTCCTCTCCCTCCCTCTTCTTATGAATAAATTTACATCTCTATGAGGTTATCAATAGTGCTGGTGTTTTAAAATGTTTCTTCATGTAGTATATATTAAAGATGACCAAAAAAAGGAGAGTAAATGTGTTGCTTAAACTTTGTAGAATAAATGAAGGCCAATTATACAATGAATTTCACTTTTTTTCTTTTGGGCAATACAAAAAAATCTTAAAATTGGAGCACAGACCTGTAAAAAGTGCCCATGTCAGTATTTATATTTGTATTTAAAGCATTAACACCTTGCTTCTTAGCTAACAGTATAAGGATGGTTCTGAAATATGAACAGATAGTGCCTACTCTCAGGCTTATATCTAATATGAGATTTTCCTGCATTTTGATTGTGAGTGTGTGTGTGTGTCAGTGAGCACACCAAGCTTTAAGAACAGATTAAAGGTGCTGTGACAAAGCTGTTGTCTGCAGTGACCGCTACAATTGCCAAAATACCAATATAACAAACTTTTTACCAGTTAGAAAATAAATGATACCCACAGCAAGGATTTTGGGAAAAGAAACACAGAACCAATCACATTACATTATGCTGTAATTCTCCATCATCATGCTGAGAAAAGGTGTTCAGGTAAGACAACGCCCCTTTTGGGTAAAGATCCAGGTCTTCAGAGCTCTTCTAAATAACAGCAGAGTGGGGCCATCCGGATCTTGGGGGGGGGAGATACCCCTTTCCGGAGGGCAGGCACTGATACAGAAATGGAAAACTTGGGGGGTCCTGAGATATGACATTGTTGAAGGAATCTAAAGCACATCAACCCTACAGGATTGATTCAGCCAGGCAGATTCGATGAGAGGCAGGCAGTCCCTGAATAATCCGGCCCTAAACCTTATAGGACTTTATAACACCTTGAATAATCTGGAAGCAAACTAGCAAACAGTACAACTCATGGAACAGCCCCCATAGTTAAGTCATTTTGGCTTCCACCTCTGGCCCACGGAGGGGATGGAAAGGGGGTGGTGGAACTGAGTGGTATACTAGAAGACACCTTGAGCTGTTATTGCAGAATCAAGTTCTATGGCTCCTTTTTGCCCATAGCTCACAAAAACTGGTCTCTTTTAAAAAACTATTAAGGGGTCACTCTCAGATTTTTGGCTACCATAGACTAGCACAGTAGTTCTCAACCTTTTTAATGCCGCGACCCCAACCGGTCGTAAGTTGAGGACTAAACCGGTCGTAAGTCGAGGACTACCCAACCGGTCATAAGTCAAGGACTTTCCCTGCCCGGGAGTGCCGCGCATGCATGGTTCTGCCCTCTGTGCCGGCTGAGGCGTAGCTGGCAAGCGGCAGAGATGGAGCAGGCCGACCACCAGCTGGCCCAGCCCAAGGGAGGTAAGGCACCCGCCGGAAAAGGGGAAAAAATGGCGGACAAAAAAAATGGCGGACAGCCTTGCTTGGCGACCCCCGTGAAATGGTCGATTGACCCCAAATGGGGTCCCGACCCACAGGTTGAGAACCACTGGACTAGCACAACTTTCCTACAATTTGACTACAGGTACTCATTAACTTCCAACCATTTGTTTAGTGACTGTTCAAAGTTACAGCGGCACTGAAAAAAGTGACTTATGCCTGATTTTCACACGACAGTTGCAGCTTCCCCCGTGGTCACGTGATCAAAATTTAGACTCTTGGCAACTGGATCATATTTACAACGGTTGCAGTGTCCTGGTGTCATGTGATCCCCTTTTGCGACCTTCTGACAAGGTCACAAACTTCCTTTCTTTTACCATTCATAGCAGGATAGCCTGAGTGGGTTAAGTAATTTTCAGAAATATCTGGGCAGGTGTAAAGTTCCTTCTTCTCACCTCTCTAAAACCTGCTTAGGATTTCCTTCAATAAATGTTATACTGTATTTCTTGTTCAGACCAGTACTGAGCAGAAATGCTTAATTTAA